GATATACATATCTTTAACATTTGTATTCCCATAATATGCTGAAATAATTTTAAAAAATGGAAAAAAAACAAAAAACAAATGTTCAACTGTGCTGCTGTGGCACCAAAGCTGCAAAGACAACACACAGGTGCATGGGTGTGGCTGTGTGCCAATAAAGCTAATGCTGCATTTACCAAAACAGGCAGAGGGCTCAGTTGGGCCCACAAGCCATAGTCTGTCAGCCCCTATTTGAGACAAGTGCTAGTCGGCAGAAATGTTCCGTAGCTGTCTAATAGAGAAGCCACTGGCCACGTGTGACTATTAAATCCTTATTTATAACAGTATTTACAATAGCTGTAACAGCTAATGTGACCTAGGAACTACATTTTAAATGTCACTGAAGTTTAATCAATTGAAATTTATTTATTTATTCATTTATTTATTATTTCAGGATATCATGAGGGCACAAACACATCGGCTACATTTCATGCCTTTGCCTCCCCCAGGGGGGATTGCCGTGGCTGGTGCTGCAGTGTCAGCACAGCTCTAGACTGTGCACTGCTGCCTCCTCAAAGGAGATGCAAGTCACCTTCCAAGTTATAGCAAAGATTAAACTTTTTGCCTTAAAAAAGAAAATAACCTTGCCTTCACATTCACAATGGAACCATATACAACTGAAAATGATCTTTCCTAAATGTGAAAATATCTGCATCATCGAGTCCAATGTGATCGTTTTGGTTTGAAGCAATCCGGTGACTGCCTATTGGCCAATGGCCAAATGCACAGTGGCAGAGTCAGGTCAATGTCAAGGCCTATCCCATCCAGAACCTTCTTCATTCCTTTTCTGGACACTGTTCTGCACCTTGATTGAGGGCACAGATCTACTCAACAGTCTTGTTAACTCCTAAGGCAAATACAAACCTGCACATAGACCCTAAATATATACACACAAAGACATGGCTTGAAGAGCCCGAGAGAGAGCATGTGTGTCAATTAGATTGCCTTCCCCTAAAGTGACGCAGGTAACACGCTGCCTCAACACAAAACTCAGTGAGATTCATCATATTCTTTGCTATTGTCCACTGACTCTGATAACTGTTCTATTTATACAATAACTAGCTGTGTTTTGCATTTCTTAGCAGGCCCAAAAATGTAATCCCATGAGGATAAGCAAGAAAATAGGAAAGTGACATATTTATTTTTCTTCTAAGTACTAACAAAAAAATAACCACACAGTGGTAATTTAAAAAACTCACACAATATCAACTTTCTTTAACGGGTACAAGAACCTTGAAAATTGAGGATACCCCTTAGTAAGAAATCCTTGGTACCAGGAGTGCCAGTAGGGTGACCTATACAGATAATGCACAGCAAAGTAAGGTAGATGGCATCTAGTTATTTTGTGATTTTTGATAAAATGAAATCATTCCAGAGCCAATCCCTTATCTGTGGTTCACAAACCCAAAATTTCTGGAAAATGAAAAAAAAAATCCAAATCTAAAGCAAACTCCTTTGGTGGGACAACCTGTCACCAACTGATTAGAGGTTACTTATATAGTCTTTGTCCTATTACTCTAAGAATTTTTTTCTGCAAAAATATTCATTTGCTTGCTTATGGGGTGTTTTACAGTGTTACACAATCTAAGACACATGCAATGGATCTCACCTTACCAAAATCCAAAAAAATGTGAATTCCAAACTACATTTGGCCCCAAGAGTTTGTATGAGAGGTTTTCTGAGGAAAGCCATCAAGTAGGACATTTCTATCAACTCAATATCTCTGCTGTCCAGAATCCTGAGTCAGGGCCTTACCTCAGTCTGGAGGATGGCAGCCCTCTGTTCTTTGGCAGTGAGCGACTCTTTAAGCACTTCAATGTGTTGCTTGCAATCTGAATTTTGATTGCTAAGGGTTTCAAGCTTTGTTTGTAAGGCAAGAAGTTCTGACTCCTTCTTTGAAAGTTCCTGCTTCAGCTGATCAATCTGCAAAACAACAACAAAACTGCAAGAAGTTAGAAACCGCTGTTCCTACCCTTTACATTTGACAACTACTGATTTCTATTTTCAATAGCCAATGATCATTAATCCAATGGGTAAGCCATGAGTTTGCTTAAAAGATGGCCTTGGGAATCACAGAGTCTTCGGGGTCTGAAGGAACATTTGTGAAGGTCACTGAGAGTGCAGCAAACAGAACAGTAAAGTCAGCAGATTGCCAGCAGGTTACCCCACTGAGGACCAAGGTTCACAATGGAATGAAGGCTTCCTGGCCAAACCTACTCATCCAGGAAACCACCAGCGCTATTTAACCACAGTCCTGATGAGGGTCAACAGGGAGCTAACATAGGGTAAGTAACGCAAGACACAATTCCATAGTTCAAATGACCATTCAAGTGGATCATTTGACAAACGAGCATGCTCAAAAAAAAAGGTAAGCATTGGGGATTTTGCTTTTGATTACATTAAATATTGAGAAGATACAAAACAATATAAAATACACACAAGGTATAAGGAAAAATAAAATAAACATCTATCATTCAATTTACCAAAAAAGATCGTTAGAATTACCCATATCACATTCCACTTCTATCTCCTTCTCTCTCCATTTGGGAATAATTACCACCCTGAATTTTGTGTTTACCATTTCCTTATCTTTGAGGTTTACCATATATTTTTGCATCCATAAATAATATACTATTTGGTTTTGCTTGTTTTTAAATTTTATTTGTGCTATGTACTTTTTTTAGTACTTTGCTTTTTTCTACTCAATCTTATGTCCTGGAGATTAAGTCATATTATTGTACATAGTCTTCATTCATTTTCACTGAAGTAGAATATTCCATTGTAAGACTACACCACAATTTATTTATCCATTCTGCTGTTGATAGACATTTCAGTTTGTTCCTAAGTTTTTTGCTATTATAAACAGTGCTATTCTGTACATGTGTAACCTGGTACACATAGCAATTTTCCTGAATGTCTATCTATGAGTTAAATTGCTGGATCACATAGCATGCAAATTTTCAATTTCACTAGATAAAACCAAACTGTTTCCCAAAGCAGTATATTAATTTGCATGATCACAAGCAGCTTGTAAGTACACCAATCACTCCACGTTTACCAACATCTTATATGTCAACAGTCTTTTACATTTTTGCCAATCTGATATGAGTTAGGGTAGATGATCTTCAGAGACAACTTCCACTAATTCCTTCCTACTTTTACACAGATGTTGCTCTTTACAACTATAGGTGGAGTTTATTTACCCTCCTCTGGAACTGGGCCAGACTATGACTTGCTTCTACTAACTGAATACAGCAAAAGTATGAGTATGCCTATTCTGCCCTAGCCTTTAGAAGGTGGGGCAGCTTCACTCCTACCCGCTGAAAGCCAGCCACCACGTTAGACCTGTGACCCCTGTGCTGTGAGGAAGCTCACTCCAGACATGTAAAGAGGCCATGCAGAAAAACAGAGAGGCATGGTGGTGATGGTGGCCCCTTTGTCTCATTCCAGGTGTTAAAGGGAAGAATTTCAATGTTTCATCATTAAATTTGATGTTCGCATTAGTTTTTTATAGGTGCTTTTTTAGGTTTCACAGTTTCCTTTTATTACAACTGTGCAAAAAATTTTTTAATCATTAATGTTTACTATGAACAAACATTTTTTCTGTATCTCATGATTTGTCACCATTTTCACCTTTAATATGTTATTTTAATGAATGGTAATGGAACTTTTTAACATGAACTTCCCCTTGCATTACTATGAAAAATCTCAGTCATAATATATTTTGTATATGTTACTGGATTCAGCTTGCTAATATTTTGCCAGAATTTTTTATCTATGCTTATAAGTAAGACTGGTTTGTAATTTTCCTCTACTGTGCTGTGCTTATCAGGTTTTAGTATCAATTTAGCCTTCCAAATGAAGTAGGGGATGTTCCTTACGTGTTCTGAAATGGTTTCTGTGAAATTGGAATTTTTTTCCATTAATGTTCATTAGAAATCACCAGCAAAATCATTCAGAGCTGTTTTTTTTCTTTTTCCAAAGAATATTACTTATTACATCCACTTTTAATGGTTATAGGAATATTTATGTTTCTAATTAGTTGAGTTGATAAAATTTTCCCCCCAAAGACTTTTTCATTTCATCTAAATTTTCACATTTGCAGGAAATTTTCATGAAACCCACTTACATTTTATATCAATAGCATCTAGGATTATGTCTTCTTCATTTCTAATATTCTGTTTTTAACCTTTCTTTTTCTTGATGAATTTCAGCAGAGGCATGCCAAGTTAAATAATCAAAGAGCCAATTTTGGTTGTTTTGACCATGTAATTACATTTTTATTTTAAATTTCATTAATTTCTGCTCTTAATTTTTAAATATTTTCTTCCTTCTACTTTCTTTAAGTTTATTCTATCTTCCTTTCCTAACTTTTTAAATGGGATGCTTATCTCACTAATTGATACAGGCCATTCTCACTGGGGTTAGGTGGTATCTCATTGTGGTTTTGATTTGCATTTCTCTGATGATTAGAGATGTTGAGCATTTTTTTATATGTTTGCAGGCCATTATTCTGTCTTCTTTGGAGACGTTTCTATTCATTTCCGTTGCCCATTTCTTGATGGGGTTGTTTGATTTTTTCTTGTTTATCTTTTTATGTTCTAGATAGATTCTTGTTATTAGACCTTTATCAGAAGTATAGGGGCAGACCTGAGATAGAGACTGTTCCTGTATACATGTTTTTTTAACTTTATCTGGAGAAATAGTTTGAGGCCTAAGTCGAACATGTGGTCCTTCAGAGCACAGGCCTTTGCCAATACTCAGGGGTACAACCCGCCCAGGGCCCTTTTACTCTATGTTCTATACTGGACATTTTTAGATCCTCGCACACAGCACATCCATGCAAGAGCCAGCTGTAGTTACGGACTCTCAAAACTAGTTTTTTTACTTTCCACTTTGCTCAAAGTTTTAAAATAGAAAATATTCCCTGGAGTCCCCTAGTCTACGTGGGAGGAGGGGCAGTGTGGTAAAGTTATTTTTAGTGTTTACCCCTGTACTAGGATTGCAGCTGTCTGGGATCCCAGCCTTTTGTGGTGGTAGTAGGGGGTTCCTTGATGCCTCATCTTGAGTAGGCCCAGCCTTCTGTTTCTTTTCTCCAGTGTCCTGTGGCTAAAGCTCAACTTCATCTGTCTAACAAATGTCAACAAGAATAAATAACCCATGCTCTACGTATCACACAAGCTCCTCGCTATGGTTTAGCTTTGACCCTTCAGATTCTTTCTAACTTGAGAGCTTACAAGTACTTTTTAAAATACAATGTTAAAAATATACTTCTTTCAGCATTTTATTTTCAGCAAGAAAAACTGAGATAAACCATAACCAAGCAACTGACAATAACAGCTGAGCATGAAGAGAGTGGTATGCTTAACAAAGAGTGAGACTCCCATCTTCAGAAGGGTTTAGGTTGCACAACTTACCAGAAAGCTGGATATGGAAGGAAAGGAGAAGTCAGACCACATCAGGGACCAAACAGCTTTCATCTTGCTTGTCATATCTAAAGGATTGGTAGTGGCTGAACAGAAAAGGAACTTGAGAAAGATTCTAAGCATCTTAAAGATTCCCTGGGAAGAATCCTGAGTGCTCACCAATGTATCCCGGGTCTATGTGAACAGGTGAGCACTGCTCAGGTATGTGCAACTCACGGAACACATTATTCCTTTGTAATTTAATGAATCATGAGTCTGTGGTCATTTTTATCTGGAACAAAAGTAAGAAGTTCTTTCTTTTTCTCTCTCATACGTAGTAAGGATGGCATATAAATAAAAAGAGGGAAAAATCACAATGAGAACTACCTAAAATGATAAAGGAAATCAAAATCTGTTGTGATCAGCATGCTTCTCAGTGGGAATGGCCCCCAAATCACATCCAGTTGTAGCTGACAGCACAGTATATAGCTGATTCCACATATGAAACTTGTTTATCTAAAATTAAAGCTCAAAAAACTTTCAGCTCTATACACCTAAGCAAAGATGATGTTTCTAGTGAAAAACTGATTTGTGCTAACTTCCACAAATACCAGAGTAGATAGTGTGGGATTGTAGTATTGAGAGAGAAACTTAAATGAAATTAACTTGATCAACAACATGGTATTTAATGAGAAGACAGGGCATGGCGGGTTCTACATACACCTACTTTATTCCATGAAAATAGGTTTATAATGATACAGCTGTTTCAGTCTATAAATATTAAATAGGCAGTGGCTTTAAATAGCTTTCAGACTATCACCGCCATAAGGTAAATTTTAAATAAATATTCTTGCAGACAATAACCAAAAAAGGCTTTTCTAAGGGGAATATAGTTATAGGGCAAAAAAATTATATTCTTCCATAAAAAATATGCCTTTTGCTTCTTTTATAGCCATAAACTCAATAAAAATGGAAAGTGATGCAATCACGCATACATGAGAACTGAGGCCAAGGTAGGTCTGTGTCTGCGATGGCCAGAAGAAAAGCCAATTGGAATTGCATCACATGCTTTATACAAAGTCTGTGTGGACATCAGGCACACTCCATCCCGCCTGAACGTTCTTCCCCCACGTACGTCTGTGACACAGCCAACACCCTGAAAAAACCACTCTGCCAAGGAAAACAGCTTCTTTTTCACTGCAGATATGGTCCTTATGTCTAGAAAGTGATATGCTTATGATCATGCAGTTTGGGTTACGAGATTTGTAATCTGTCAGAGGTTTATAAGAAAATGTGTTACAAATTCAGAATACAGGCGGAGATCTAAGGCAGCAGAGTGGTGTCTTTGGCAAATACTGAAAACAGAGAAAGCAGCTAATATAGAAACACTGGGATCAGTAGATGAAAAACGTGTTAGACTAGGAACAAAGCCTTGTACAGAAAGGAGGAGCCATTATTCCTTCCCCACCAGAAAAAGTTATTTATAAGATATGCTTCGTTTTCCTGCCTTAAGAGTGCTCCTGAAAGTAACTCATGCTTTCCATGGCCTCCTAGATTCAGCTCTCACAGTTCGATTCCTGTAAGCCTTTGGAGTTCCAGTAGGAACTGGAGTTTCCAATGGGAGAGCTGCACGGATCAGGAGGTCTCCCAGAGCATCGGTTCTCAGGGACAACATCCATGTGCCAAAGGGCCTGCGAGATGCCAGCATTTCTGCCATGGCTGACTATGTCCTGTATCCCTGCCATCGCACAGGCTGAACTTCTAAAACTCTGTTTTTGCATTTTTGCAACCCATCTTCTACCTTTACAGAAACATTATATGGTGGTTTCTCTATGATGTTATATTTGTAAAAACAACTCAGGTCTTTGCTGCTACTTAATTTAATCACAGAGCTTTAAAAGGCTATACCAGTTCCAAGAATCTGTTGAGGATCAAAATGAAGGTATATGCTCTTCCACATGGTTATTTAAATTACTTCCTTTCCCTCCAACAGAGTGCTTTATTCATGTTAATAATAATGACAAGCAGTATTGTCAGGATTAAATAAGGAATCACACTCACCTCTCAAAGTAAGAGAATTAAGAAAAATAAGTAATTAAAGATATGAAGTATGAGCAGTAAATGTTATTGTTCAATCCAATAAGCACATTTTTTAATGAAGAAAATATAAAAAACTCTCACTAGTACTTTTTAGCTAATGTCTATCAATCTATAAGGAATATCTGTATAACACTATTAAAATTCATTTTTATTTATATTTCTGAGAAATCTATTTTTCCCATTAGTCAGGTTAACTGTAACATATATTTATTACCATCATTCTTATTATATTCAGTTATACTTCTTTAATAATAATGTTACAGTTATTAGTTACTATTTTGAGCCAGGCTCTTTACGTTATTTTATTTAATCTTCATTTGATCCCCCTGAGCCACCCTCTAAGGTTGGTGGTACTGCTCCATTTTATAGAAGAGGAAAGTGTGGTTGAGCTGAAGTCACTTGGCAAGGCCACGCAGCAAGCAAGGGCAGGCTAGAGACTCCTCGAAGTCTACTTTCAACTTCAGCCTGCACTCTTTCCACCTCACTGCATTACTCTCCTCATTCTTCTGACCTGACTACTTTTGGAACCACTAAAAGTAACTAGCTATTAAAAGTTACATCTAACTCAAGGATTGATGGTTTCTCAGACAAATGCAGGTTAATAAAGGTCATGACTTACTGAAGACCATATAAATGTTTTATTCAACTGGACAGAGTCTGTGATAAGGGGCAGAGTTTATAAATTGCATGACATTTGCAGTTGTAGAAGTGACTTGAACAATCTCCCATTGCTAAATGACAGGGTGGGGAGGAAAAGTTAAAGCTAAAACAATAATTTCTCCCAAACTTCTTGAGTTCACTCGTATCTGCGCCTCTGGTCTTCATTCCCAGAGTGATCTGGGCACTGTCTGCAGGCCACCTTAGTACTCTGCTTGCTGCACCGCACCTCAGCTCAACTCTCTGAATGAGAGGGACTGCAAAAAAGAAATGGGGAGGACAGACCAGGGAAACCCATTCTGCACTTTGGGGCAGTCCTTGAAAGGAAGTGGTCACATTCACTTCCACTGGACACTTCCACTGGATTCATTCAAATCCACTGGCCATTTTTCTTCTCATAGTTCTACTCCTTGATCTACATGTTCAGTCATAATCTCAGTGTCTACATAGAGATGGAAAGTTGGCAGAAGTAAGCACAATTTTTGTGTTTTTCCTTGAAGAATCATACATGCAAACACATACATACAAATGTGATGCAGTAAATGTTAGATATTATTTCCTTTTTATAATTTGCAAACTCTGCAAGGAGTATGCATGTATATCCCAACTGATAAAAATAATGGAAACATTTTTTTCTCCCCTTTCCCCCTGTCTTGTAGAAATCTGCATCCCTCTAACTCTCCTGTGTTTCATAGGCAACAAATAAGATTAAAACCTAGACCAAGGACAGGGATATTTATGAACAAGTAGTAGAAAAAGAAAAAGAAGCTAAAACAAAAATTTTTTAAATTGGCACAGTTATTATTTTCAAAAGCAAAATGGTTTAAACAAAGAAATAGATTAAAACATCTAAAATAAGTCTCAAAAGACTCATTTGAGGCTATTCATAAATGTAATAATTATGCATATGTAAAAATAATAGGTGACTGGTCTATTTATAGCCCAAAGTTTAATTTTAAAAAATCCAAGCCAAAGTATTTAAAACTAATAATAGCAATACAAATTAATGGAACAGGTTACTCTAAAATTTTTTTCTAAATATTCTACAACAGAAGACATAACAGTAATAACTGTCATATCTGCTTGTCATCAATACTATCAACAACTATGCCTGACATTTGTCAAATGCTTTCTTGAGATAAGACAAGGGACTAAGAGCTTCAAATGAATAATCTCTTTGAATCATCAAAACAACCCAATGATGTAGGTACTTTTCTTATCCCTATTCCTCAGATGAAGAAACTGAGGTTTAGAGCTATTGAATAATTTAAGTAAATGGCAGCACTGGGACTCAAGACCACTTATGTCTTAAACCCTATGCTAAAACCAAAATATCCCAATAATATTTAAATGAGTTAAATTGGCTTATAAGAGCAACATCTTTTGAGACAATCACCTGCTAGGAATGAGCAATAATAGCAAAAAAACAAAGCAAAACAAAAAACACCAAAAAGCAGATTTTTAGTAATGGTAGAAATTTGGAAGAAAGAAGACTAATACGTTAATTCTCAAGAAAGAGGAATAACAAAGGAATTCATTAGAAAAGCCTGAACCTCACAGTAAGTAGAAATTCCACCAAAGGTTTTCCCTAATTGCTTTTTGGAATCTATATTTCTGAACTAAAAATCTTCTGCATTCTTCTTTATCGTCCATATATTTAATGATATCATATAAAGCAGACTATGTGGATATTTGGAAAAAGTATGTATGTAAACTATAACTTTCTAGTTACACCAGGAATATAAAAGTTTATAACCCTGGACCGTACCTTGGTCTTCATAAACTTGGAGTGACTTTTGTAAACCTCAATTTGTTTGATCTCTTCTTCACGGTCCTCAGTGTTCAGCACACCATTGGCCTTTAACATCTGGATCTCATCCTCAAGATCCCTTATGTTTCGCTCCAATGAAGCAATTTTTGTGTCCTGATGGTAAAAAAAGAAAAAGGAAAAGAAAGAATAAAAATTGTTTTTTAAGAATCTCCAAAACAGAATTTAAGAATAATTTGGTAGTGCTGTAGTACGTTATTAACTATAGGGTAGATATAGCCCTGAATTCAGAATACATTTTTTTTTTTACTTCTGAGGATCTTTTAGGATATTGTTGTTTAAACTCCCAATCAAGATCATGTGTCCAAATAATACAGAATGACCTAGATATGTTTGCATGATATCTAGGAATCAAATTACCAAAGCAACAGTGATAAAAGTAATCTAAAGTGTTAAAAAAACAAAACACCACCTAAGTGGACAGACTCTAATTTGGGATATAGTTTAGAAGTGTATATTTTGGAGTCTACTTGTAAACACAAAAATGGTTTGTTCATGTATATATTCTATGGCTGATTTTATAAGGCATGCTTGGAATTTGACTCAGAGAGAAGGAAATTCAAATCTACTAAAGGGAAAAAGAATTCTTATCTAAAATACAGACATAAGTGAAATTAAATAACTGAATCTTGATTTAGTATGACTGATACACTAAATATTGAAAATTTATAACAACTAGAAATATATATCACAATGTCATCATTTATTTGGCAAGCAGGCAGGTCCCTACGTGACAAAAAACATGAATACCATGCAGGGCATTTCTAACCTATTGATTTACAGAACCAAAAAACAAGAAATAGTACACTCAGATATGGAATTAGTTGGGAAAAGAACAACCAGTGAAAAACTCTATACACAAGATAGAGCATAATAAGAAACAGTGCATTAGAAAGTAGGGAAGAAAGAGCTCTTAAAGGGGAACCAAAACAAAGAACAACGACAAAAAAAAAAAAAAAAAAAAACACCCACCTTACTCCCCTACCGTAAGTATTAGACTCATATCAGTCTTTAGAATGAAACACAGTGAAAGTTTGGCTCAAGTTTTCTCACTGTCACATCTACCTGTCATTTTTTTTTTTTTTGAGACAGAGTCTCACTCTGTTGCCCAGGCTAGAATGAGTGCAACCTCACAGCAACCTCAAACTCCTGGGCTCAAACAATCCTCCTGCCTCTGCCTCCCAAGTAGCTGGGACTACAAGCATGCACCACCAGGGCCGGCTAATTTTTTCTATATATATATTAGTTGGCCAATTAATTTCTTTTTATTTATAGTAGAGACAGGGTCTCACTCTTGCTCAGGATGGTTTCGAACTGCTGACCTTGAGCAATCCGCCCACCTCGGCCTCCCAGAGTGCTAGGATTACAGGCGTGAGCCACCGCACCCGGTCCTACCTGTCATTTTATTGTACAGATTAAAGCAGCTTTATTAAATTTATAACTAAATGTTAATGAAAAACAAGCCACCAATTCTTTTTATATTTTTACCAGGCTTTTTTTAGAATTCCAAAAGAAAAGATAATGAATGGGCTATTCTATTTATAACTAACTCATTCAAAAGAAAACCTTGCAACAACTATGTCTGTCCTAACTTTGTGGCTGTCATCTATTTCATTTTCTATATTACATTCTCAATGGTATATCTCATGTGGCAACAGAATAATCATTATTATCATTAACATTGTCATTATGTTAAAAAGAGCAGCAGCAACAACCACTGTTTGAGCTCTATTCTGTACCAGGAACAAAGTGCTCTAAGTCTGGTTGCCCAACCCCTGGCTGCAGACCTGTACCCAGTCTGTGGCCTGTTAGGAACTGGGCAACACGGCAGGAGGTGAGCGGGGCGGGGCAGAAGTTTCATCTGTATTTACAGCGGCTCCCATTGCTCCCATCACCGCATAAGCTCCGCCTCCTGTCAGATCAGCAGCAGCGTTAGAATCTTGTAAGAACACAAACCCTACTGACATAAACTGTAAGTTAACTGAAAAGAGAAGGACCAACATCCCTGTTTTTCCTATATAAAATCTTTTGGAATTTCAGAGCCAAGTCTAAAGTGACCATATTAATATGTATATATATGTGTATATATGATGTGAGTGCTACAATACACTGTATAGTCTTCACATCTCCGACCTTTATTTTTGATAGTACTGGGTAGAATTTCAGGTCTCAATCATGTAGGCAAGAGAAGAATCTGTTTCCTTACAAACCCTCAGCTTCCCTCTCAGTCAACCGCTGAGGCTTTAAGTGAGCAATGATCACAGCCGCCAGCTTCTCAGAGGGTTACAAGCAACTTGCCATCAGGCCCTGAAGAATCGCATACTGCTATGCGACATCAGAGCTGGGTTAGGATAGAAAGTTTCTTAACACAGCAAAGCTTCTTGACCTGTATACACCTAAGTCAAAATTTCACCAAATGGTAAAACACAATTTGAACAAATTTTTCACTTTTACTTATTTGCTTAAACCAGCACCTTTCTTTTTCCTCACAACCTTTTTTTTCCCTTTAGCCACAGGTTTTCCAAAACAAAAAGAAAAGAAAAAAAAATGGGTATTGTGGGATGCACTTTAATGAGTAAGGATCTATTTGTTCTGTCCTTATATATTTCTCTGTCCAATTTCAAGGGCAATAGAACTCATCCCTGAAATCATTGGCATAGAGAAAAATAGACAGAATATATCATTAGGGTCCACAGAGGAGAAGAGATGAAAAATACAGTGATATATTAGATGATTTTTGGTTGTGCCCATGAAGATATTCAAAATACTGAGCCTGAGAAAGACTGAGGAAATATAAGCATGAAAATCGAAGTTCACTGCTTCTCAACTGCCTCAGTTTGAAGAATCAGAGAGGGGCTATTTTATCCTTATCTTTTCCAAAAATCTCTAAAACTAAGATAAGTGATTAAAATTTACATTTTAAGGAAGACTATGGAAGTCCATATGAAGTCGAGACATGGCTGATGGTGATATGAGGACGGTGAGATACTAGGTGCATATGCTCAATACATCTAAGCACTGATCTAGACTAGAGAGAAAAAACTTAAGTGAAGAAATATGTTGTAACGTCCTGAAAAGTATAGTTTTAGAAAGTAGAGCAACATTTTACTCTCTATACGCCAAGGTGTTTTCCTCATCTAAACATTTTTACATGTTTATTGTATTTAATATAACTGATAGTTTAAAACAGTTTGTGGAGTGACTTCCAAACACACATCTCTATATTTCACAAATAAATATGCTCTAGAAGCAGATAATTGTGGACCTTCCTTAAAAATAGGGAAAGTGAAATACACTATAGGGTAGCTTTTCCCAAGGTCCATCCATAGAACCCAAATGCTCCCTTCCCCGAAATGGGGGTTGCAGGGTCAAATAAGTCTGAGAAATGCTTGTTGGAGATTCTCAATGCATGTCAGCATGAATGGCTCTGGGAAGTCCTGCCACGAGTATTCTATTTAATATTAAGTTTAATTCTATGTAATTTTATTTATTCCAGTATTACTACCTGTAACATCAATTCTTGGAAAAAGTATTGGATTTTAATGATCATGTTAAGCTCTGGGTTATATTACTAAGTTGAAGAGTCAAAACAATGATCTGGATTCTTCAAGGGAAAAGTTACCACAATTAGCCCCCAATTTAAAATAAGTGGGGGTTGAAATATCCAGATCACCTTGTCAGCTTCTGTCACTCAAAAGTAGTTTACTGAGCACCTGCTCTTAGCCCAGCACCTAAGACTACCTCACAGAAAGTGCAGGTGTGGACTCCAATTCTCCCAGCACTCACTACTTCATGTCTCAGGTGACATTTTCAAATAGTCTTGAGATAGGAAACTATGAAACTGTCTTGTTTTTATACTATATTTTGTAATGGACCATAAGAATATTGAAAAAAATTGGGGGGAGAATATCTAAGATATGCTTGTTTCCGTTTCTGTTAGAAAAAAAATATCAAGTATCTCTTTCAACTCATTTCTTTCCAAACACATTCATAAAGTAACACTTGTAAAAATTATAAATTATTGAGGAGGATCAAGATGGCGGACGAGAAACACCACCAGAAAGAGTGTCTCTGCAGAAAAGACAGATTCTAGCAGAAAATAGAAAAAAGAAGCAAGAAGGCGAGCATACAGCAGACGAGGGCCAGAAGGAGGGGTACCTGAGACCCCGAGAGACTCCACGGAGAGGCTGCGGAGGAGAACTGAACGGACGCCGAGCAGCCCAGAGACCAGCGGGAAGGGTAGATGGATAAATCACCTTTCCCTCCCCTGCATTTGGGACTGCTGGTGGGCTCCCCCACGGGGGAGAGACCTGCAGACACCAGCCCAGAGACGGCCGCCACCAGCTAGCGGTGAGCCTGTAGCAGACGAAGCACCAGACTCCCCAATCCCTCGGGGAACCTCCGTGTGCACAGACCCGAGCCCTGTGGCAGGCGCCATATTGCCTCCTTCTCCCCTCTGCCAACCATACCTGCGGCTGCCCAGAGAGACAATACAGCCACCCAGCCGGAGCATCTCCAGGAATGGACCTTCCCGTTTGGGACCTACAGCTGACTAAGGGGAATCCGACTGTGAGCTCCCTACCCGCCAGCCCTCCCAGGTGCTGCTGCCACGGTGTTCCAGGAGAACAGTGCAGACTCAGAGGCTGAAGACACACACACAGCTTGGGCTCCCTGTGGGTGAATTGGGACAGAATTCTCTCCCAGTGTGGATACAGTTAACTCTGGGACCCAGAGGTCGGACCTGCAGAACCAGATCCCGTGCACCGAGGTCTAGCATTGCCCAGGGCACAGAAGGGTTATACGTGAACAGTCTACTGAAGTGTGTGTGCCTTCAGGGGCAGATCAGCATCCTAGAGGGCAATCCTCCCACAAAAGGGAGGCAGTGCACCCAGCCCAGGCAGCGTTTCGAGCAGGGAACCTCCCCGCCGGCATCACATCTGGTGGGTGGCGTGTGGTCTGGCAGAGGCCCAGGATACCTGCGGAGTTGGAGGGTGGAAAGAAGCAAGGCCCGTCCAGACTGCGGGTTCAGACGCGCCCACCCCACCCAGACTTTCTGGCTGAGTGACCATTCCAGGCCCGCCCCTGACAGCTTTCCT